CAATTAGCAAAACTTTGTGCTTAATCGAAAATTTTTGAAACTATCACAGGCCTAGTCTATTATACTTGCGAGAAAGCAAAGTCTATTCCGAATCACAGATCTCATCTCTGCTGCCGATCCGATATTGCTTTGCCCGATAAACTTCCTTTGATCGTCGATAATCCGAAATGTGTTTGAAGACGTCGAATTGCATGGCTGTCTTCGTTTTCCAATCAGGTAAATAATTTCAATAAGTCAATAAGTTTTATCGAAATGGAATGTTGCTTCGTAGTCTTGCTGTTAAATTTCATTATGGGAAAATTTTAAACATTTCTAGAATAGTTTTTGGAACAGGGCTTCATTGGTCGGGTATGTCGATTGTAATTCCGATCACTCAAGACTTGGAATTGTTTATCATCTAAGCATTCTATTACCATAGTTACTTTCTTAATATTATGGCAGTAATTCATGATATTAGTGAACTTTCAAGTATAATCAAAATTAATTTTCAGATAAATAATCATTCAGACTCAAGGCTCATTCTGAATATCGAAGTCTTCAGAGGTAACATAAAAAATAAATTAACTTCAAAGACGTATAGATTTTTCCTGAGGGAAATTATCTTTCTTGTGCTCTGACTACTCGTGGCCTATAAACATAAAATCTATAGAGATAATTTAATTAAAATTAAACGTTATTCTATGAAAAAACATTCCATTCATTGGAAATACTGTTCAACATCACGAACATCATTCTCGTAGTTATAGGATTTCCATTTGGGAATAAGATTGTTCTGAGATTTCTGTAAGTAATGGGAAATGGTAATACTGTCTCTTCTGTATAAATAGTCGCAAGTTAATTACGGATTAATAAACAGTGATCAACAAGCAAAGTGTTTCACTCAGTTTATTTAATGCGATAGTATCAAGACATCATCCCTGAGTTGACGTAAAAAGTCGATATTATTATAGTGCTTAAATTAACTCACAATCAATTTCATTTTTTTTTAGTTACGTTTTTAATATTTTATACAATTTGATTAAAAAACTTGTCATTCATCAGTCCCAGCAAGTCCCGAAATCAATAAAATTTGTGAATCCAAACCTCGAATTTCAAACTTTGACTTTCTTTCCAGAAATTCAGTTACTTTTTTATTCCTCGAGGAAGGGTAAATGTAATAGTATTTAGACAGAAATAACTGATAGAAGTTTAAATATTGCCTTGTCATCAATTAATTGTTTGATATAATCATAAAACTGTAGAGTATTCATGCAATACTTTAAATACGTCAGAGAATACTCGTCTTTGATGTACTCCTCATCAAAACAATGTACACGGAAGTATCCTTTTCAATTTAAACCGAAAATATTTTCATCGAATACAGTAATTGTAAAAGAGATTCAAACCAAATTTTAGGAATAATTATTTTTCAATGCGTATTAATTTATTTCAAATGGATCAAATGGAAATAAAGTAAACGCAGGTTCGATCTCATAAAAGTGGAGAAATGGTTCAATCTCATAAAGATCTAGCAGACTCAATAATCATTTTTCGGTCCAAAAGTATTTCATGACGGCCTCTTGAAGCTTCAAGTGTTTTGTCTCCTGGCTCTGAACACCGCGTTTGCCTTATCCTGGCAATATCTAGAATGACGCAATTCTGAACTATTCTCGAAATCAGCCATTCTGCAGAGCTACCCGTATTGGCTCGGCACTGCAACGACATTGCTGGCCATTCTGCGCAGGGCAATTGACGACGCTTGTATTGTTCAGGTTTCCGAACGCAGTTTACATAAAATCGTGACCATCTTCACCAGATGCCACCACAGTTCTTGCCCTCGACCACATGCCGCTAACGCGGAATTTTCTTGCCGTCCACTCTCACTGCTTCGTTGCTTCTGATCCAAACAAAATTATGTTCTTCCGGCACTTAGATCTCGATTGTACATCCTTGTATCAAACATTTGTGAGAAAAGCTGTGCGAAACAATTGTTGGCATTTCTCAAAAACTTTTTGTAACTTTTTCCGACACAGGGACATTGATTTATCTCCGGCTGGCAACCGAATCCCGTAAAATGACCATGAGGTTGTAGCTATCACAGGAAAGCTTTTAAGAACTAATATATTCATGATATCTTGTTTATCTAACTTAGAAAACTACACTTCGAATTTCAAAACTGCTATTTTCAAGGGCAATCATTCAAATTAAAAACTTTTTTCCTTTGTCGAGAAAAATTCAAAACCGCAAAATAACATGACCTTATTCTGACTTACAACAAATTAACAGAAATATAAAGCTTTTTTCTGTAGAACTGTACTAGGAAATTAACTCTTCACGGAGATGCTTGCTTTTATTAGAATAAATTCGTCGGCGAAGATGCCTTCGGAATTCAGGGCTTTAAATACCCTTCTTGTACTTCTGGACTAAAGCTACCCGAGCATTTGCATACGGAGTGAAGCTCAAAGAAGTAGAGGAGCTTGCGACGCGTGGCGGAATGGCAGTGGAGGTTCATTTAGGTAGATAGGATTTAACTGAACATTATAAAAGGAACTTAGAGATTTTAAATGTATACATTAGGATCTCCATTTTCAAAAAACTTTATTCTTGTTAATTTATCTTAAAAAATATTATTTCCATGTATGTTTTCAATTTGTGATTTCTTACTAATGAAATTCACATTTTTTTGAGCGAATACTTTATTTTCATCTTCCGATTATACAGTGACGGGATTGTATAAAGCACGCTTTACCAAACTTCTTCAGAAATGAATCCAAGCAAGTCGAATATGTTGAATAATTATAATTTCATAGCCCTCTTCCTGTGATTCTTCTTCCTCTGTTTAATTTAATTTAATTAATACCAAAATAAATACATTTTAGCTTCAGGTGTTGCTTGATTCACGCAATTCTTTGCCCTAAGTCATAATTTTTTCACTACAACGCCATGAAATATAGAATATATTAGGCTAGAAGCTTGATGCAAGTAAAATATAACATTAAATTTGTTTATTTAAAAAAGATAATAAGGCTTTTGTTTAAAATGTATAAACCATTCATGAAGATATAAGAACAAGAAGATTCTTTACAGTGGATCATTGAAGCAACATGTGAGTATTTAGATGAAAGGCCAATTTACTGCAGTGAAAGTACCTACAAATTAATAATAAAACCTAACGCAATTAGTCGCAAATTTGCTACTCTCACTGACTATCCTAGTCATTTTCTCAGATACTTCTATATTCTAGGCTCATTTTCCGCACGAAATCGAACATTAATTTTGTTTGATTTCCGAAAAATTTTCTCAAGGAAAAACGTATTGAATCGAATCAAGAAAAAATCTCCCAGCGGGATCTTCAGATCAATTTCATCCAATTTTCAAACGTGAGCTCTCAAAAAAAGCTTCAAGCGTTTAGTTTCATCTCCAGCGTCCGAAAAAGACTTCGGTTTTTATCTTCGGTTACGCGTTTCCCGCGAGGCTATTTTCTTGTTTTCCTTTATTTTGCTCGCAATTTCGTGAGGCTTGCCAGCAATTGGGGGAATGAGGGCAACTGCATGGGACGTGAGGTGGTTGCGAGCCCTGGTGCAGTGGTGGTGCAGTGGTGGTGCAGTGGTGGTGCAGTGGTGGTGCAGTGGTGGTGCAGTAAAGTGCAGTGCCGTAACCTTGCTGATCAATTAAAATATATGGTCTAAATTTTAGTGAATTTTATAACTGGATATCACGGTAATCTGCTAATCAGAACTTCTTATGTCTGTCTAAAATCTGCGGGATGTGAATAAAACCAGTAATTACTAAAGCTTATATTTATGCGCTTTATGTCATCATATATACATTAATGATCATTTGTCTAAACCTCTCATTAAATGGATTGCACGTTTTGCTTCGATATTTGTATAGGAAAAGTGTTCCTCTATAACAAAGAGCTCAAATCAAACGAGACAGCAAAAACTCTTTGATAAGAACATATTTTTCATTTAACAATTATATGTACAGTAAATGACATATGAAGGTGTTTAGTAAACCGATATTCATATTTTCGCAAAAATTACAATAGGTCTTTTGTATGTTTGCATCAACACATGGTGATATTTTAGGCTGTTTCCATTAACGTATTTACCTCCAAAGTTACTTTTTATGTCATTCATTTTTATGCTTTTTGATCTGATGCCAGTGTCATGAATAGAAAGAATACAACGTACGTCAAGCTGAATCGTTTGAATAATTTCTTTCATACTGGCTAATAAAATTTTAAGGCTCCTCCTACCAAGTGGTAAATACGATTGACGAATCGTTCCTTTTCAATTTCTGATGGCATCATTAACTAACATAAGATATGAATAATTATTATCAGCATTATTTACTTGAATAAATGATGATAGTAAGTGCCCGGCAGGTATGATGGGGACCAGCAGGATTATTTACTTTATTTATTTTAATTAATTATGATACCAGCAAGACGATAACGCTCAAACAACATGAGATTATGACCGCTATTTTGATTGTGGTTCTTAATTTGAGATAAGATATTTTACTGTGATAAGACAGTTAACTGTGATAAGACAGTTAACGGTGATAAGACAGCTAACTGTGATAAGACAGTTAATTGTGATAAGACAGTTAATTGTGATAAGACAGTTAACTGTGATAAGACAGTTAGCTGTGCTAAGACAGTTAACTGTGATAAGACAGTTAGCTGTGATAAGACAGTTAATTGTGATATGACAGTTAACTGTGATAAGACAGTTAACTGTGACAAGACAGTTAACTGTGATAAGACAGTTAATTGGGATAAGACAGTTAATTGTGATAAGACAGTTAACTGTGATAAGACAGTTAATTGGGATAAGACAGTTAATTGTGATAAGACAGTTCACTGTGTTAAGACAGTTTATTGAGCTCAAACTGTTAACTGTGATGAAACAGTTAACTGTGATAAGACAGTTAACTGTGATGAGACAGTTAACTGTGATATGACAATTAACTGTGATAAGACAGTTAACTGTGATAAGACATATAGCTGTGATAGGACAGTTAGCTGTGATAGGACAGTTAGCTGTGATAAGAAAGTTAACTGTGATAATACAGTTAAATGTAATAAAACAGATAACGGTGATGAAACTGTTAACTGTGATAAGAGAGTTAACTGTGATAAGACAGTTAAATGTAATAAAACAGATAACTGTGATGAAACTGTTAACTGTGATAAGGCAGATTACTGTGAAAAGGAAGTTAAATGTGATGAGATAGTTAACTTTGATAGTATAGTTAACTGTGATTAGATAGTTAAATATGATAATGATAGTTAACTATGATAAAGCAGTCAACTGCGATAAGATTGATAACCACGATAAGACAGTTAACTATAAACAGATATTTAACTATTTTAAGATTGTTAACTCTGTACACGATGCCTAAATGAATGCCAGCATAATAGAAGGCAGCACCGTAATATAAAATTATGAATATTAATATTTGTTTTTCTTTAGTTACTGTGTTATGAATTGGCGAGCATTCCTGTCAGAATTAATAGTGTTTCTTTTGATCATAATAATTTTGACATGGAATTAAAGGTAATGAGGCATCTCAGAAGCTTTCAATTAGGTAGCTTTCGAGTTTCTTCAAACTGTTGCAATAAATTCAACGGTAAAATGACGGTTGTCAATTTAGAGTATTTCAATGACCTAATCTGAGCACAATCAATTTCATACGAATTTCATACGAGACTGCATTCTATTTCAAGTGTTTGCCAAGAGCAGAACTACGGAAAATTACTTTTTCAGAAATTATTTAATTTATCCTCATCCAAAATGAGTTGGTCAAGTTTCTTCATTGCTTCAAGACGTTGCGTTAATATTTTAACGCTTATGAATAAGAAATGAAAACCTCAGTAGTCTTACAAGAAAGAAAATAAAATAACGATGTATATGAATACTAAAACTAGTGGGTGTTGATTGCGCTCTCTTAATTCTACAATTCTAGTAAACTTACAATTTTTTGTGAAGAAGCGAGTTTAAGTAAAAATTTTCGTTACACTTAGATGATAATAAAAAAAATTTTCGTCAATCTACTTCGCAGACCAGATGCTACAATTTAGCATCCTTCAACGATAAGCTACAGTTTTTTTCCTGTTGTTCCTAAGGACTAATTTTTCATTAAAATTTCGGAGTTATACCATTCAAATTACTCTTTTGATTTTTGAATTGACCACGAATTTTTAGCTAAATCCTATTGAAGATTTCACACATTCTTTTCGCGACGTCAAAAAATGTGTAGTCTATACCTATTTACACGTAAATTGTCTTCCATTGCATCTTGAAATTTTATTTTCCCAACAATTTCGGCGTGTTTTTTACTAAAAAATTTAATTTTAGATTTATCTAATCACGGATAACTTGAGTATCGTTCACGTCACCCATGAGCGACGTAGTTTCAGAGGGAGGAACCGAAGAAGATCTCGGCGGAGGCGATGGCTTGGCTCCAACTTTAATGTTTCCCACAAAATTGCCACTGACAGGTGACAGGACGGGTGAATTCTTCGCATTTTCCACTGTGCCTACAGGTTTCCTTTTGATCGTCGATGTTTCGGTTTGGTTTCTTGCAGTAGCAGAAAAGTCCATTGGGTTTCGTTTCAGTGTTGAAGTATCATGTAGATTGTGCTTCACAACGGATGCTCCACTAGGAATTCTCTTAAGCGTAAAGGTATCAGTAATATTTCTGTTCTGAGAAAAGCTTTCACTAGAAGGCCCTTTGACGCCAAGCGAATTTCTCCTTAGTGAAGACGAACGCTGAGAATTCCTCGCGAGTGAAGAATTGTGGCTAGGGATGCTTGAGCAAGCTGCAGCAGACGCTCTTTTGAGCGTTGACGCGCCACCCTTTATTGTAGCGTGCCGCTGAGACATGCACTCTTGGTCTTCCCTTCCGATGTCGTCTGCCAGCTCGGCTTTGTTGTGCAAATGTTCTTCTCCAAACATGCGACGACGTGCGCCATCTTGATCCGGGACTTCGGTAGCTGCCGCAGAATGATACTGATGCGTCAGGAGATTGCCAGCAGACGGCGATGGTTCCATCTGCAAATGACACTGGAGTTGTTGTTCCTGCTGTTGGCTAAGCGTTAATAAATGTTGTTGTTGATGCTGGTGTTGTTGCATCACATGCTCGGATTGCTGCTGCTGTTGCCATAACGGTTCAAGTGACGTTCGTTGCACTTCAGACTGTCCTGGTTGCACGCAATGCTGACCGTATTGTTGGTGACTCATCAAATCATGTTGAATTTGTTGCTGCTCCTGTTGTTGCTGAATCAATTGCTGCTGCTCGTGTTGTTGCTGTAACTGATGTTGCTGCAGCTGATGCTGTTGAAGCAAGTGGCGTTGTGTGTAGGGATCTGATTGCGATTGGGAATCATCTGCTACTGATTGGATGGGTGCGAGATTCTCCGGGAAACATGTCGCGTATTCTGGCGGCCAATCCTGAGTGCAAGCAATGGACCTGACGGTCGCCGAGGAATGAAGGGTCCCGCAGTGCGAGGGAGACAGGCTGCTGTGCGGCAAGCCATGCGACAAATTGTGCTGCGTTTTGTGTTGATTGTTCTTGCGGTAATGCACTGCTGCGAGCACAAGCATGTTCAGCAAAAGTAATGTGACTCCCAAGGCCGCTGTTAAAGTCAGGGCTGTTGTGTAGGGCAAACCAAAATCATGTGCCATGTCGTGCTTGTGCGAGTTGCTGGGCTGTCCCTTAGGGTTCTTAGATGAATGCCCGAGTCGGTCCCTAACCGAGGCGTCCTGAGCCATCCTATAGGATCCGTTCCTGCTCCGGTAACCGAATTCGAGCGTCGACCCATTGCCTACAAGCAAAGTCCCGTTGGTGATAGACGAATTGAAAGTCGTTGAGGAGGAATGTGGCGGAGGAAGGAACGAATTTGGTCTGGTAGGACCTGAGAAAATTCCAGGCCCGCCGACAAATCTATGGAAGGTGGAATTGGAACCGTGCCGCGAACCCACCCTCTCCAGCCCTGGAATGAGCCAAGTCCAGAGCGCGACTTGATCTGCGCGGTAGTGGTCTTTTATGCGAGGACTGCTGGCACCTAGACGAGAAACCAAACACGGTGAATGTGAAGAAATTATTTTGTTTTTTCATGCATAGACTACCTGTTTTTAGAATGCATTTGGTAATTCATATAAATGGCGATAAGATCATATACAACTGGCAGTTAAATCTCCCCGAATGTACTTATTGAAGCACAATTAAAATGTGGCAGAATGTTGACCTGTGAACATCTTATTGTATTATTGTATGGGAGCTCTCGTGAGGCATTTTCATCTTTAGCGACTGACAAAAACGAAATTTTAAAGAAAAGTGACATTATTACTCATAGGTTTAATCAATAATACATATATTGTCAAGTGTGCTTTGGTTTTTTTACTAGCGATGCACGATATGCATTCAGGGATTATCTGAGTACGTTTACAAAAAAATTCATAATACAAAACGATATTATTTTGTTTCGAATACCATTCTCACAACATAAACACAATACTCATTTAGAAGTTTAATTCAACCGGATATCTCAATTTTTGTTCTGATATCCTATAACGCATTGGAAGCGAAAGTTAGATAGTAAAATTAAATTGAAAACAATTGTTATTAAACAAAATTTATTACTATTCAACAATAACAAAAAATATTATTTTTTTAATTTCCGAAAAAAGATCAAACGTGCGTCTTTTTTAAATTATATAAGAAGTACAATCAACATAGCTGCAGTATAAAAATTATCATTACGCCAGGGAAATCGATTTTCTAAAGTTATTACAAAGTTTTGGGGATTATATATCTCTGTTGAATTAAATATACGTTCTCTTGTTTTTTAGCTCAAAAGTTCAGTCCAATCGCCCGGGATAGAAAACCTTGATACGTTTTCAGAATTGTGTGTCATTTGCATTCAGTGTCAGATCAATTACTCGGCAATTTTTTTCCGGCAAGCCATGAATTTAATAGTAAAAGCGATGAAAATTTTATAGCTATCATATTAAACACGTATCCTCTTTCAGCTTTGGCAATATATAGCAACAATGTTTTAACTGTAGTCTTTGAACCCAAATACTGAATAATGGTGACAAAATTTCTAATTTGATTACGCGAGAAACTTGCCGAGTAGTGCTCATAGATATCTAATAGTTATTTTATTCTACAAATAAATTGCTTCCAAATATAAGCAATGAAGATATAAAAATTAACCATCCATGAATTATCTACAAAATATATTTGAAAGAGAACAATTAATAAGCCATTTACGGGCCTTATCATCATGTATGACTGAGTGCATGTTTCTGCAGAGTGACACCCAAAGGGCCTACTCAAAACTTCACCGAATGTATATTCACATCAATAAATTTCATCTGGGCTATAAAGTCTGCTTCATTACATTTCTGAAATCTTCAGCAAAAAAATTTCTCAAGAAATACCGATCAAACAATATATACATTAACTGATTTATTTGTTCTAGATTTACTCCGAAAATCAACTCGTACTTTACTCCGAAAACCAACACACAAATTCAAATGTTTCAGTAATCTTTCCTGTTCAGTTCTCCCCTAAAATTAAATCCTCATAAGTAATTTCTGTTCTGTTCTTCCTAGAAATCAAAGCAAACAAAGGAGCGTCAAATGTTTCTTCAGTATCAGTAAGTCCCGCGGGTATCCCGCTATACTGGCAGCGGCTGACTCACGTATCTCGAGGTATCGCCGCGACATCGCGTCAAAAGGATCCCATTTGGGCTTTTGTCCCGCGTCGTCGGGTTGCTTTAGCGCATCTTCTTCATAGACGTCGCCTGAATTCGGGTCGCTGAATATCATGGAAAATATGAACAAAAAAGTTACTTAAATGAACAATTAAGGAATGAGTTTATTCTGTACATGAGTCTAGAGGTAAATTTATATTTCAAATTGGTTAAAACAAATGCTGTAGGATTTACACTGCAGGAAGAAGTTGATCATTCATCCAAAGCGCTTTGTTTTAGCAAGTCAAGTAAACAACAATTTTTCTAAAATTTTAAACTATAGTAATCCAAAATAAGAGTTTCTTATATTCAATTCTGTCGCATTCTTGTTGCAGATTAAATAACAGGCCTAACATATCTAACGAGAATAGAACAATACAGCAAAAGAAAACAAAATATCAAAAAATTTACCCGCTTTTGACGAAATTCGCGATGTAGTTGATGAAGTTGAGGCAGATGATGAGGTCTGCTTGAGAGTGATTGACAGCGGCAGAGATCGGGAACTGCACGCCCATTGGTGCGCCCAAAATGTAAGCGAGCTCTGTGATTGGAGCTCCTGTTTGGTCCTGGCAATTTAAAAAAGTCATTTACGCATTTACGACGTAACTACGTTTCCTTTAATTGGGCCAACGAGATTATCTAGGAGGCCAACTTCGAGCCCGTTTTGAGTACAATTCAGCGATAATACTAAATGTTTTCGACCGCTAACCGCACACAACAAAACCGCATCGTTGTGTGCGGTTTTGTTGTCTATTACTTACATTACTTAACCAGGTATTCGCTTTATTATCCAGCTCCCAGAATTACCTGGCTGCTGGCTTTATTATCCAGCACGTAGAAGAAAAGGTTCTTTGTCTTGGATGCGAAGTTGACCGCCGCTGCAGTGACAGGCGCTACGACACTAGCGTCGTGCAGGGCTGCTAGTGTGTTGTCCCGCACTAGTTTTTGGGGCTGACTAGGCAGTGACCAGTCAGTGTACTCAGCCGTGATGGCTAGTACCAGCTCCTAGTCAACACAAATTCACACAGTTGTATAATAAGTGAATAACGTTCGAATTCTTAAAGCACGTCAGATCCGTCAGAAGATCCGGCATGTTATTGGAATGGGCTTTAATTATCATGAATTGCAACCCCACTTTTAACAAAGAATTTTTTCTGACTTGAAAACATAATAATCAGTTCTATTAATCAAAATCTGAAATCAATTTTACTTTCAATATGCAAAAATGATTGATCCTGCAGCACAATTTTTCTAAGTGGTAACTTGCGGCGCATCATCTAAGGTCCTCAAAAAAGCAAGTCAACGTCTGCTTAAATACCGGCCAATTCTTATCATGAGCATTATCGTAATAATTCTTATCATAATAAATAATTATTACCATTAGCAATTTTTATTACAGATATTGCTTCAAGAACGTGTGTGGTACACAACTGCGTTCGTTGAGTTACGCGCAATTGTTGACATATTGTTGTTATAAGCGTAATTGTTGACCATTGCGTAATATATTACCTGCAAATGATAATGATGATTATTGGTGACGAATGTCCGGAAAATCCTGTCCCGATGGTCCTCATCAAATCCCTCGACCATCATCTTAGGTGACAGCAGCTCCAGGTAGGATGCCGCTGCTACGCCTGTTATGATGTCCACTGGAGTCCTGTTCTCTTTACCTGGAAATAAAATATTTCAACATCATTATTTTAATGTTACTGTTAATGTTCTTGAATCTTTCTGGAAATAAAATATTTCAACGTCATTATTTTAATGTTACTGTTAATGTTTTTGAATCTTTCCGGAAATAAAATATTTCAACGTCATTATTTTAATGTTACTGTTAATGTTTTTGAATCTTTCTGGAAATAAAATTTTTAAACGTCATTATTTTAATGTTTAATCTGCTTGAATCTTTCGTACATCACAACTGTTTGGTTTCATTCAATTTCTCAAGTGATGACCAATAATTAAATTTATTGTTCATCGGAAAGACTTTTTGTTCGAAAAATACGAAATTAAGCAATTTCTACCAAACCTCGTATATGTCTTGATGAAATAGATATACATATATTTATCTCTATCCAGACATAAAGATAACGTTATGACTTCATAATTTCATATGTGCACGATATATATGATGTACAGTCCATCGCGCTTCACTTAAACCAACAATGTAATGTTCACTAGCATTAGTTTAAAATTGGCTTTGATTTCTTGCGTTATATCTAAACATTTATCTAATTAAGGAAGCATTGTTTTAACAAATTTATCCTTTATTCGTCAAACACGCTTTATTCCTCATTTAAAAAAATAACATTACTATTGGAAACTAGGTATTATTTTTGAATGATATATTAATCAATGCGTTAAGAAGCACACGTTGTAAATTTCAGTCACCCATTTTTGTCATGTGCTGCTGCCAGTCGTGCGTGATGGTGACTCCGTCAACGCTGGGGCCCATGGAGCTCAGGAACTGGGGCGTCGTGAACGAAACCTGCGTAAAAATGTTCGAAGAATACCATGGTTTAAATACTTTCATTTGAATTAACAGAGAAAAAAGTATTTTTCACAGTAGATTGCATAAACCTACTTCGATATAACAGTAGATTGCACAAAACTACTTCGATATAAAAGTAGATTGCACAAACCTACTTCGATAAAACAGTAGATTGCATAAACCTACTTCGATATAACAGTAGATTGCGCAAACCTACTTTGATATAACAATATGCGTGATTTATATTCACAGAGGTAATTGATTTAATTCAATGACATAGTTTGTAACCTCCATAATTTGCTTGATGGTTTTGTTCCTGAGACAAGCGATCAGCTCATCGAGGCTGGGCTGCTGGGCTTGCAGTACTGGGCAGTGCAGTTGCTGGCTGGTAAGCTGGGCGTAATGGGCTGGGTCTTTGACTAAAGCCCAGGGGCTCAAGGCAGACCCAGAGAGCATGATTGCCCGTCTAAAAAGACCGGCGCCTAGACAGGGCAAATAAAAATTACAGACTCTCCCTTGTTGTTGAATTGTCATTTAAATTAATATTTTAAATGACAATGATATTTTAAATGACTGTAAATTGTCATTGTCATTTAAAATATCGCTTGTTTTAAGAGAGCTATGCTATGGAATTGAGGGTTATTAACTATAAAAATCACAGACTCTACATTGTTGTCGAATTGTCTTCCAAAATGTCACTTGATTTAACAGAGCTATGGAATTGAGGGTTATTAACTGGACACTAATTTACTCAATATCAAAATCTGATCATGGCTTTACGAAATCAAAGGTTAGGTCATTCATGGATTTACTTTGAAAAATTTCCTGGCGCACTTAAGTTCAACAACACATGAATAATTCAGCGATGATTCTCATATGTATTTGAAGTTATTCGAAGGATATTATGTTCCTAGACGTTCTTACTAACCAATCGTAAGCTGTTCTAAAATAAGCCTCATCATTTGCAAAATTTTTAACAATTTTATTAGAATCTCAAATTATTGAGCGCTTAACAATTGCAGAAACTAAATCCTGGGCTTTTTTGCGCATTTTCTCATTTATGGAAAAAAATGCCCTATTGTGCTCGTTATGTCCGTCCGTCTGTCTGTCTGTCCGTCCGTGACTTCAAGTTTTCGTTGACGAGAAAATGCGCTGCTGAAAAATATCGATTGCAGCGAGTCCAAAATTACTAATATACCTTTTTCATGCATATTAAATTAGGGAAAGCGAATTATTCAAATACGACCTTGTATATGTACCACGCGGAAGCCTTCTTACTCTTTTTCCTTGCATTACTTACGCCTAAAGAATCATTGGTTTAATCCTGTTCTTCTAAAACTAGTGTCCCACCTTGTCATTTTAATGATCACTTCGCACAAAATTTTTCTCGGGAATGACTCGTAAAGAAAGGCCGCCATTGCCAATCTTAAAGTTCCGGCTCTCAAATCCGCAAAGTGGTCCATAAAAGAAATAAAAGCGCTAAGTGGAGCAGTGTTAATGCGGCCGGCAGTTGCTGAAGCGCTCTTCGTTTACTGATACACCAGCTTTAGGCATCGTGATAGCTTTTTTATGAACCGGAATGGTTTCTTTGATGGCTAAGTCATGTGCGATTGATGGAGTTTACATGTAAAACTAACGTCTTCTCCCAAAGAACTCGGTGGTATAAAGTACGCTCTTTGATGCTTTAATGGTCGCAAGTTCGAGATAATTTACTTATGCGTCTTTTAGATACTTTTAACGTGCAGGAGAAAGGGAAGTTACCTCGTAAACTCACGTGAGGTCCATGTCGACAAAAAGTTCTTCCCGTTGCTTGCTAACCTTAGAGAACTAAGTTTCATATATAAAGTATGGATGCTTATTGTTCAATTATAATTACTGGAATAATAATAAAACTGAAAAACAAATGATTTTTAAATTCAATAAACTTACGTGACATCGCTTCAGCTTTATATTGTATTACAACTACCTGGTTAGCTCAGCGTTGCTCGGGCTCGTTAATCCTTGTTATTATAGAATCTCGTTATCCTGAATCCCGTTATTCCTATTGTCTCTGATCCTGTTAATAACAATGAAGCTTATGCTTGAACGGCCTAAAAAAACATGGGAGCAAAAAAATTCAAACGGAACAAAGAACCCCCATTTAACTCTTATTTCCAAACGCGAAAAATTTAGCGTTCAAAGTATTTAAATTAAAAAAAATTTAAAATCAAATTTTGATTTTTGGACCCAGTCCTAACCTTTCAAATTTGATATGGCTTACTTTTCTCATAGTAATAATAAATTGTCAGGCCCCAGACAATATTCCCACTCGATACGCCCTCTAAACACAACTCAAACAAATATTTATAAAGTTTTACATGGTAGAAACTTCACTGAGAAGAAGTTACGTTAATCGAAGTAAACGTTAAACTTAAACAACTTTCATTCAAACTCTATCGTTAGATCGTATGCAGAGTTTAAAAGAGGTTACTTCGCTGCGTAAATGAGTTCGCTGTGTTAATTCAAGCCTCACCTCACTTATTTCAGAAGAATTATAACAAGCATCACCTGGATATATAATTTAAAGATCCAATTTGAAAGTTCAATCATCATGTTAATTTGGAATCAAATTTTCCTCCATAATGGGTTTATGTGCAATTACCTTTCATTCGTGAGTCAACGCATCATGAAATACGTATTTCATTTTCTTAATTGGAAGTAACTATCCTTCATTCAGATTCTTTTATTCCTTTGAATATATTATTTTCAGTCTGTACCTGAGAGCTACACACAGATATTAAAAAATTACCTAAAATTTCATCAATCAAGTTTCTAACTTCATTTCCATGTTCCTTTCCAAACCTTGAAGTTGCGAAAATCTAAAACATTCAAGCAAAATCAGTATGTCAAATGTCAAAGGCAATATCATTTTCGTTGCAAATATTTTGATTGCCTTATTTTTAGGAATAAAATTTCACGTCCTATTATATTTTTCATGTTATTATTTCAAACATGAAGGTAATTAATGAACCCACCTGCAGCGGCTGGGGAGATGATGAGGAAGTTGAGCGCTGCCGCGGCCCTCCCAGCGCCCAGTACGGTGACCTGAGTACAGCAACAACCTTCGTAACTCCTTGGAACTACGTATGTATAGTATAGTGAGGACAGAGCGTTATAATCTTGTCTTTTTAGCGCATTTTCTCGTTTATGTAAAAAATGCACTATTGTGCTCGCATTGTCCGTCCGTCCGTCTGTCCGTCCGTGACTTCACGTTTTCGTCGACGAAAAATTGCGCTCTCTGTCACTCACTGCAGGAGTACTGAGTTATATTTTTTTCCTTTAAAAGAATCTTAAGCAAGTAATTTCAGTGCCTCTAAGTTGCACTATTTCGTAATATTGATCTAAGATATGGCATGAATGGCTGGACATCCAGTTCATTTAGCTGAAAACAGCCATATTCCTTTAAGATTCATTGTTTTGCATACTAAAGTCTATTGCTTAAATATTCACAAATGTCAGCCCTGTAAATATAAGATAGGACGTTTTCTATTGTACATTAAGCTAAGCCTCGTCTTCACAGACGAGTCAGTCTCTTGCCAACCTGCCTTGAATAAACTTGCTTTCTCTGCCCTGGTCTCTGCTTGTACCACGAGAGTCGTGCGGGATTTAGTCCCAGCGTCGTAATTAAGGATATTACATTTGGCGACGAGGATGAGATAATTTAAAACTTAAACCATAATTTTGTATAATTGAATCATTTGACTGTTTCTTAATCGGGTTATAGTGTTTCATTATTTATCCTAACATCTGGTGGCCCTAATGATGATGCTTGTGGCGCTGTATATTTCATAAGCACTCTGTTGTATAAAAGCCCTTATTGTGCATATTACTGTACTAAAACATTTATGCTTAAGATACATTTAGAAGTTTTATGAGATTAATGGAAATTCATAAAACATTCAGAATACACAACACACATAAACAACACAAGTTTGACCAATTGGTGCGATACATCTTTGCGAATTAAATTTAGTTTTCTTACGTCAAAAGCCCATGTTACAATTTTTGCGTGAGTGAGAAATGCAGTTTTCAGAGCTCGGTGAAGATTGTTATGATGCCGAATGCTAATCTAAAATGTATTTATATATTATAACTGCCAGTTTCTCCTGAAATTTCTGCTAAGTGGGCCGAGATCCTTCAGTTGAACTTAAATGGCGTAATTTCATCTCTGAATGGCATATTGTACTTCGCAGCATGGAAACATTAACGTTATATTAGGATCGTTCAAAAGAAATTCCAGAAACATTTTGACCGTCATTCTGTATTTTTCGGCCTTACACCTGATAATAACGTAATTTCGTTCACAATAAAAACCGTAATGGGATCCCAAAAATTCCATCGTTAACCTCAAACGTTTTTCACAAAACCTCTTGAGCCAATCGTCCTCTCACTTAACCGCAAGCTAAGCAATTTAAAAATTTGTTATCTGAAAAGAAATTCTAGCAGAAAAGGTTGCTAAGGGCTCGGCTAAAAGGTGTGATCCTGAGAGCTTCAACGGTTATTTGGCCGCTAACGTCTTCTTTAGCGAGTCTCTTCAAGTTTCTAACGAGAATAAGGTTCGTTAACCGCAATTGAGACCGACGCCTGCAACTCTCAAAAGGCTAGACAAGAATTTGAAGTGCATTTCCTTATCGTTCGCTTCATCATTTACTTTAGTTAAATTTGAACTCTTGTGTGTTACTCGGTTGACTGGCATCATTTAAGTATGAATAGAGTTATGTCAGAGTTACATCACAGTTCTCAATGTTTGTCGATGATGTTTATTGAAAGATGGTAGACAAGTTAAGGATTCAATATGACTGCTAAAAATTCTAAGGAACATTTTCATGCAAATCAAGTGACAATATTTTCATCAAATTTGAAATTATTCAACTTGCAATCGAGCTTCAATAGACGTTGAAGGGTAGGGGAGCAAACCCTTTCTCTGCGTTCCCTCGACGCTTCCGAAGCTGCCATGCCCGAATTCATTCCTATATAGAAATTTGCCCATCGCCCTCCAAGTTTAACAGTTCAACTAAAACTTCATCCCTTAGCGTTACGTTTTTCAAAGGAAGATGTAATTAAACTCCAGGTCTGATGAATGGGACTGACTGTAGAGAAGATTTCTCGGACGGCCGCGGAGATGTACGCATGATAAATGCCTATAATTTACTCTGAACTTCAAAGGCCGATCTTCTTCTAATTAGCAACGCTGCTGCTCTGCAACTCCGGCACCGGTTGTGTAAAGCATACAATTATTTGACAACGTGAATTTCCGGCGACTTCTTACAATAAAAATAAACTATTTATTGGTGCAGTATTTTGGCGCCATTATACGCCGATAAAACCAGGTAAAAATATTGTCTATGAGATTTTTCCTATTTATGAGATACTCAGCTGCAGCGTTGATCATAGAAAATCTAAGCAGTGTTTATTGTAAGAATTATGACGTATATTTGAGGAGATTTTTCGAAATTGCAGCCAGGATGAATCGACTACAATGCTTGCTAGATCGAGTCACAAGATCAAATTCACCAACTAGAATTAAGTCTTACAGTGTCAAAAGAAATGTTCTTAGTAGCACCTGAAGTACTAAAGAAAATTCAGCGCGGGGTTCAGGAAACTTAGAGCGAAACTGAACACTGAAAATTGACCACAGAAATGTTCTAAGTAATATACTATTACTAACTGTAACCCTGCAAAACTTCTTACGAGAAGGTTTCAGGTTTGAAATGTCACCATCCAATCTGGCGCAGCGTTGAACGGAGATTTATGTTTGGTTGTTAGAGGTGCCACATCGTTATAAAACTATTTTATTCATCAACCTTAAGCCTGACAAGTGATATAAAAATATAAAAAAGAAGAAGAAATTTTTCATTATTTTAGCACTAGAACACTATGCGATTCTACCATTATCTTTTTTTTTTCAAGGATATCCGTCATTCCCGATACTATGGCAAACAAACTTTAATCAAAATGAATGCGATGCACCACGAACACAATTAAGCACCTAGTCCCAGAGTGCTACAGGCGTCCACAGTTCGACGCTTCATCCACGGTTCCACGGTTGTGTTCCGGTAGAGGGGCTGCTTCTTAAATTTTGCAGCCATTGTTTCCAAGTTTTAGGAATTACCTAATCGTCAATGTAAAAAAAATTTTCATGATAGGCATAAATGCTTAATATTTCTCCTGCAAGGGATGTCTTTGCAACTCACCAGTGGAGAACGTCCCACAATTGTGAAACATGGCTCCACACTCACTAAATTACGTAACGAAACTAGACAAAATTGACAATACAATTTAATATCAATGTCTCATATGATAGGCTGAAAAAAACAGTTAAAAGTTATCATGTAACTTCTACCGAGCAATACTCCTAACAAAAAAATTGCAATGCCAAGGCTTCTGCCTAGGAGACGCCACAAAGTGTTTGTCTTACATGCGCTGGGTCGCCGCCGAAGCTTGCGATGTTCTCGTGCAGCCAGTGCAGCGCCGCGAGCTGGTCCATGAGACCGTTGTTGGTGACAGCGGGGCGGTGAGGCTCGGCGTGAGGGTTCAAAAAACCTGCAGGGAAATTGAACACTCTAATTAGAACACTGGAATGAAACACTGCCCTAACAAAATTTAGAGTCGCCCCAGCTTCTGGTAATCCAAATCAGAAGCTGCCGCGTCTAAAAATTTTCACTGGGTATAATGTTCTTAGATGGATGTCATTGTTCCCTTTAAAAGTTGATGAATTAATGCTCGACATATTCAAATTAAAAAGTCAACAGACTCATTTGACTCATGGATTACGAATGGTAATATTAGAGGATAACAAATTGAACGCTCGAATATGTAGAATGTTTTTCTGAAAGATTAAAATAACCAGGGATTGCTAATTTAGAAATAATAATAATTAAATAATACCAATTCCACAGGTGAAAAAATGGTTTGTCAAATCTTGCCGGAAATCTGAGGTTCGCATTGTTCGAGGAAAAACTTGAGCAGACGAAGTAAGATTTTTGCAACGGACCCGAAGTTATTAGTTATCATTCAAATTTCAAATTTATATACAATGAAATAAGAGCAACATTTTCGCGACCCATTTTTTCTGTACGTGAAATGAAATTTTTTTCTTCCATTTCCGTTGTACACAATACCTGCTAAGTATCACAGAAGTACTCATCCTTTAATTTTTATTTTCGCTGAGAAACCGCGTCAGTTTCCTCGCCGGAAATTTAACAAGAAACACCGTAAGAGTCCTGGCTTCGTTTTAAGTGTCATCCGGAATGTGACTCATGTCTTGTTTTGGTCCGGCGCGTCCGGGCTTTAGGCTCATTTAGAACTTGAAATTTCCGAGCTTCTTTCCTGTAGCTCTGGCCCCACTTAAGCCAGAGAGCGCCCCGAAATTGTGTTTACATTTGGATACCGTAATTTTTAGGTATTATAATCTCTGCAATACTATTTGAGCAGGCGATTTTTTTGTACTCAATTTGTTGATTTTTCAATCACTAACTCCAAAATGAGTAAAAGACTAAGTTACAAATAACCTATTGAAAAACTGAATGACATCCGTCATGCTCTCCATCAAATTCAGATTTTTATTTTTATTTGTGCAAACACTATTGTATCCCGCAGAGCATAGGATAAGACGCATATGGATTTCCTCAACTATTTATCAGCTGCTCTATTAACCAGCTTCAATTATTGATTTGCTTTTAAATTTAGATAAAGGCTGGCTACAGTTTACAATGGCTTTGTCTCCATCCAACTTTCCGCTGGCCCACACGTCATCCACTACCCTGGATTAGGAAGCTTTTAACGAGCACGGAATCCCTTGAAAAGCGATCCTTCTTTGCTCGGATCCGACCTTCGTTTTGGCGAATTTTCCGAGCAAGATCGCAAGTTTGTTTCCACTCACGGCGGCGTAATCTCATTGAGGAAGTCGTTAGGTTTGGTCAGGGCAGCAGCAAAGCTATGGAAAAAACCTTCGCAAGAATCGCAAAATCTAGCAAGGCTTCTTTTACTGCATCACCAAGGCAGATATTGGCAGTAAAACGTTCATCGCATTGCTGAGCTTCGTTTAGGTGCGCTTCTATTGCTGCACTTACTGCTTATAGTGCGTCTTGTCAGCGCTACTTCCTGCCGATAGTATTCTAATACCAGTCCCGACTGGTACTAGTATTTTACGTCACAACGCTGGCTGGCTTCCGATCATTTGTATTTCACTGTAAGTATCGATTTAAGGCTGATTTCAAGCTTGTGCGATCACTGATTTTATGATTTTTATTAATATGAATTTATTCAGAAAACAAAATACAAAAATAAACATTCAAATAACATTACGGAACTCTTTTCTTCGCTCATGCGAATTCGATTTAGTCACCCAGAATAATTCACTGCCTGAATTCCAAGGTGATGTTAATTTCCTTCACTGAAATGGAATTTTATTGTTAGAGTAATGCAAATTTTCTTCACCAACAAAGAATTCACTGCCTAAATTCAAGTCTGATGCAGCTCCCTCCCAGTATTCTGACTCTAATGTTAAGAGTAATGTTAATTCCCCACTCTCGGTTTTGAATAAGGGGTCACGCAAGTCCCACTTTACACACCCAGAATTACGAGACCAACTTACGAAACATAATGTTTTATTTCATTCATTACTCAAAGATTTGAATTACTGAAATAATATGACTGGTATGAATGATGACTCTGATATGGAATTAAAAAAATGGCTGATGCAGCTCCCTTAACTCAACCAGAACTTCGATTCCGAAGTTGACCGTAAGGTCATTCCTTTCAATCGCCCGAAATGCCAAACTTAAATAAAAAGACGCAAAATCCCACCTCCCCTCACCAATAATTCCACGTTTTAAATTGAAAGTGATGCGATCCCTTCACTCACCCAGAATTCCGAGCCTGAAGTTGAGGATGAAGCCATCCCTTCACTCATCCAGAATTCCGAGCCTGAAGTTGAGGTGCCATCCCTTCACTCACCCAGAATTCCGAGCCTGAAGTTGAGGATGAAGCCATCCCTTCACTCACCCAGAATTCCGAGCCTGAAGTTGAGGGTAACGACGATGAGGTCGCCGAGGGTAGCCAGAAGGCTGCCATCGTAAGCGCTGCCGGAGCCCCACTCGAAGCTCTCGCCGTGCAGCAGCACCAGCACTGGAGACGTCGCTGCTCCATCTAAGTGGGAACATTAATAAATTTATTCAGTAGGGCCGGAATTGCAATAACAGTTAATTATTCTATAGATTCTTTAATTTTCTGTAGTTAATCGCGTGTACATTAAAATATGACGTAATTATCATAAGGCGAGCAGCAAAGTTACGGAAATTTTATGTCAGAATTAGAATTTAATTTAGTTTCATTGTTTTGATGGACAAGTGGAGAGTTCAAATGCTGAATAATTCGTGCAGCTGCGAAGTTTAGTTTTCATTTAAAGTCTGGAGGATTGAAATGAAATATAACGATCCTTAATTTCTTATATATCAAGTCTTATTTATACAAGCGGCACATCATCAACGGCAGAACTGTTTCGATCTTCTTGCTCAACAAACGCACTGTTTTTCCAATGAGAGAAACCCCAAACATTTGAAGAGGAATCAATTATTTTGTCTTTCCACATTAACATGTGCATGAAACATGCCCGCGATACTATTAATTCCTCCTGATTATTGTGAAGCATTATATGTTTGATTTAGACGCATTTTCGGTAAATTTTTTGGGTATGTCTAATTACTTGATTCTCGTGCATCCTTTGTAAAGAGGATAATTCGTTTACACATGAATACCTCAAGTATTTCCTGTACTTGGAATATTGGTCCTAAAATATTCTACGTATTTGGGAATATTTGGTTTCTTTTCTTTAACGGAAGAGTCGAACCAAGGGCTGCGTGATCTGCCTAAGGATCAAGCTGAAGAGACGGATGCGAGCGCCAGCTGAGATGCAAGGAAGGAATCACTTAAGCAAGGTGCACAAACTGCCCTAGTGGGAAACAACTTGCCAAAGTTAAGGCCCAAACTTGAAGCAAGAATTCGTGAATGATTGCACAAGTTACAACATAATCGCAATTCGGAGCGTCCCAGGATCTTGCTCTCAGCGAGCCATTACCTCGCGTGGGAAGCAGGGCTGCCCATGCAACGTTCCTGTCATATGAAGTCTCTGAATAATTAATCTTCTGAGTCCAGAACTCATCCTACTAAAACAATTCTTTGCTGAATTGTTCGAACTCACGCACAAAATATATGATGTCATTTATCATATTTTCATATTATATTTTTAAAGCTAACATATTATAGGCTCTGGTTCTTTTCCGACAAAAGATTATTTCCTTCCCTGTATAAAGTAAATCTAAATTTCTGAATGCTTGGGCTCGCGATACGTTTTTTTCACTCTGTTTATATACCAGAGAGATTGCGTGCAACATTCATACAATATGTATCATTATATAAATTCGTCATTTCTATAGCAATTCCATTTACCTGCTCAGATCTTGCCTGATTTCTTCCTCATCGCTTCCTTCAACATAAATATTCAATAAATCATTAGCAAATAACGTATAAAAATAAATAGCGTTCAAACATTAAATGTTCTCAATATCGTTCAGTCCCTAGGTTCAGGTTTACTTTAAATTTTTTTAGCACCTCTATTGTTGTGCGCACAAAAAGCTTTACCATTCAGCTACAGCAGTTTGGTCGTGCAATCAAGTTGGTGGGGGGGGGGTGTTCGTTGCTGCATCGAGTCCGCAATCGTTTGTTGTTCGGCCAGGCAATTTTTGAGAGGCAATTTCGGAGGTACAGTCGAGTTGCAGTGCGCATCTGATTTATCACCGCGAAAAAGTTCCATAAATCTTTGCCATTCGTAACGCAACTGCAAATTAAAGACGATCTCTGTTTATGGTCGATTTGATGCGCGACTACAATGGAATTCTACACATCTTTATTTTCTAGTAGTTCATACATTCCTGTAGTAGTGAGTGAACACCATTCAATTTAAGTTATTCATAAATGAAGTTATTTAATGCATCTAAATTTGAAAATAGTTTCACAATCGCTTAATTAAGCAGTTTATGACAGCATTCATGCTATATTTGCATGAATTTTCAGCATTAAAAACTATCCTGTTTTGTGATGTCGTCTGTCCAGGTTTATAAAAGAAAACTTAGCACCTGAATAATAAAACTTAAAGAAGCCGCTTCATGTCTCTTGAATTAAATTAGAATTCGTTGGGAAATGTTTCTCTAGAATGCTGTCATATAATTGCTATAAAGTTAGTATTAAACATCTCTTGCTGCACATTATCGGAGAGCTCGTAGTCCATCACAAGTCGCTGTAATTCGGTTCTGCTGTCAGCTGATGAAGCAAGGAGAGCTTTGTGGTAAATCACGACTGTAGCTCCTTGGTGACGAAAGGCACTAGGACGCCTTTTCTTTCTGTGAGGTACGCTTAGCTCCTTCATGAAGCAAGGAGCCAGGACGCCTTTTTGTGAGGAACGTTTAGCTCCTTCATGAAGCAAGGAGCCAGGACGCCTTTTTGTGAGGAACGTTTAGCTCCTTCATGAAGCAAGGCGCTAGGACGCCTTTTTGTGAGGGACACTTAGCCCCTTCATGAAGCAAGGCGTTAGGGCGCCTTGGTGTGAGGGATGCTTAGCTCCTTGATGAAGCAAGGCGTTAGGACGCCTTATGTTAAGTCACTGCCAGGAGACTGCGCTCTACAATCCCGCGTTACGAGGCTGTAAACTGACGCAGAAGTGTTCTCTCGCTTGTCGTAATTAATGAAAAATTTAATCAGCATCTACATAACTTTAATAAATGTAGGAATTACTCTACATAGTGCTGAAGAATTAAAAACATAGCTCATGGACTAACGTGAAGTAATAAATAATAATAAATTTGAAGCAGTACCAAATTCATCTAAAAGAAATATAATATTTTCAGTCGATTGGCGGCAAAAAGTTTGTTATTAATTTCAAATGCATTAATTTCAAATATTTTCGTTATAAAGTTATTGCTCTTTAATTTGGGTCTAGATACTATTTTCGAGGTATAATGAATATTTCGTTCGGTGATCTGAATCCCTAAAAATTCGTGCATTAATCCCGTTCACAAGCACTAGTTTCTCAAGGCAAACATCTTTGTGATTCCCAGCGCACTGCCGGGAAATTTTAAACTCGAGAGAATTCTTACGGTTTAATTACGGGCAGTCGGGGAATATTTTGTGGGGGCAAAATCTTTTTCTGTGGAATTCAGCGAGGGAAAAAAGTGTTTTTCTGACAAAACACCGCGAGTGATTTGCATGGTAAATTGCGCCTAGGAATTTTCTCGCCTGAGAATTTCTTCAAGAGCAAGAATGCAAACTCTATTCAATTCCAGGCTCTACTCCTTACCACATATAATTCAGTAAACTCTTTTCTCTGAATTCTAATTTTTAAGTTTCATTTATTATTTACAATTATTAGCATTTTCTCAAATCGTTTTAATATTGAGCTGTTGCTCTAAATAAATTATTTGATGGCTTTCGTGTGCGAAAATTAGATTGAATTCATCAAAATATAAATTCAAAGTTGATGAACTTTTAATTTAACTTACCATAATTATTAAAATTTAACCTTTTTTTAGTTTCCAAATTTAAACATGTATTTAGTCGTATTTGATAGTCTTAATTATTTTAATAAACATTGAATATGATTGTCATAGCCTTCAAGGAGCCCCAGTCGTTTTAGGGTGAAGTTTTGAAGCGAAATCATGCTATGGTGAAGCTTCTTAACATTCTATAGCGGTAAGACACTCGATACAACACCGTTCACTCAAAACATTAAAAAACTTCTATGGATTTAGTCCCAACGTTGAAAGTAATAAGATGCAAGGGATAAATTACGGATTAAATTCAAACTTTGCCCTCGTGTTGGCACGAAATTTACTTCAATAATTTGATCTTAAAGTTCATTATTTGTTTTAATAATAATAAAGAGAAGCAAGATGCTCACAATCCTACCAACGACTGTATTAAAATAGATTAAATAGACAAGTGAACTAGCTTATTTCTGCATAAGTTAATTAATTGAAATAGAAATGAAGGAAATGATTGTAGAATTCATCCACGTGTAGCATGAATAAAAATTCAAGTCAACACGTATCTCACATATTAAACACATAAAAAATACACTTATATTTGTGGTGAATGTATTATTTGTATGTATTGTGTATGTGCGTATTATGTATGGAAGTTTTTATATTTACATATAATTTACATATAATACATTCCAAGTATTCACGGCAGTAATTCTTTCACTTGCCCCCCCCCCAAAAAAACAATGTTGATGTTGAGATAGAGGCCACTCACCGGGCACGTAGATGTTGAGGTAGAGGCCACTCACCGGGCACGTAGATGTTGAGGTAGAGGCCACTCACCGGGCACGTAGATGTTGAGGTAGAGGCCACTCACCGGGCACGTAGATGTTGAGGTAGAGGCAGTCTTCGCTCTGGTGCTGGAAGAGCCTCTGATATTTCTTAGGTGGCCGTTGAGGACAAGCGGGTGGATGCGCTACAGCCGTCAGCACGCCACGCCACTTCGTCGGGGCGCGGGTTGGACTCAAGCGGTTGGCATTAACCGGAGGAGTGGCGTAAGGGATACCCAAATAAACCGCAGCACGAACCGCTCTGCTCGGTTGGCTCGAAATTTGATCCCTGCTTGGGTTTTTCGTGAGTTTAGAACTGGAATTTTTTGACACTCTTGGGCTGACGTGTGGAGGGAAGAGCACTGTTCTGTAAAAGCCCTGAACTTGGCCGTACCGCGTCGACACGATCGGTGTTAACTCGTGTCTTGGTTGAGGACGGACGCTCTGAGTTGCTTTGTCTTGAGAGCCTCTGGAAATAAAATGCATGAACGTAACAACGTTTCAAGTTATTCTTATAGACAAGCTCACTATAATTTGTGCAAATTAGAAGGCTGGTTCACAAAATCGCCCGATTTCAATAAATCCATAACATGATACCAAAAAGTCTTTGGGGATGTTTTGAGATAAGTAGAATGAAATGAATGCAGGCCACTCACCAGGACAGGCCCGCTCAGGAAATGAATACAAAATTTAAATAATATTTATTAGACGCGATTTGATTAACAATAAACTTAGTACCCACCAAGACTTCGCAAACACTTTTCAAGTATAGGAACCAGAAATTTCTATCTAATTTTGAAAAGCTCTTTCCAACAATAGATTGATTATGCAATTCCATTTTCTAAAGCTAATTAATTTTGTGTCTTGTAAAATTACCTCTTAACAAACAAGTCCGTAGAAGTTGAATGCTTCTTGTCTTGATAATTTTCATCTTCGTTCTCAAGGCTGAAGCGTTCGTTACTGATCTCAAGCTGCCTTTGGTCACCATCATCGCTCTCCGTTGCGTGACTCAATTCGTTCCATTGAAGCTGGGTTTTCTTGGGAGAGTGAAATGCCGGAGTCTGAGGGTTGTTAGTTTGGTCCTTTTGGTATGCAAATGGACTGAGTGGAGAACGTTCGTCGAAATCGAACACTTGAGAGGTAAAAGAGCGGGTCTGCAGAACTCTCGAAGTGCTTTCATCTCGAAAGATTGTATTCTCAGTTTTACTTTCATTTTCGAAATCTCTTGTTTTCGTATGTATTTGGCCGGCATTTTCAATGCTTCCTGCCAATTTTTCTGATGCTGAAGAGTCGGCTTCAAACCCCAAAATTGAAATTAAAATCACAACATAAAATTTCGATCGACCTTTCTTAATAGCCAACATATTTCTGTCTTTTTGGGAATTCAGTGCATTAAAGAGTTAATTTAATAGAATTTATTTTCGATCATTTATGTAATCGTGTTCTTAGAAAAATTTCAGTATTTAACTACATTTTTACGGTCAATAGATGTCTGTCGAACAAGCAAATAAATGAATGCTTCCGCACTCAATAATAAATTTGAAAGTCAACAAAAGTATCCAACCAATATTGTAAAGGATACACAGAAATATTTCCTTCAAGTCTGCTGTACGACTTTTAAATATTTGAGTAAGTTTCGAAGGCCCAAATTTTTCGTAGCAGCGTTTTTATTATTACAACACTTCTCTTTAACTTCACTTCTTGTTGTTTGTTTGTTTGTTTGTTTGTTTGTTTGTCTGTCTGCTACAAATCTTATAATCAATGTTTAACACACTTCTACCTCTTCAATCGTTCTGAAATTTTGCACACTCGCGTAAAATCAGAGACAATACATCAACTGACAGAATAAATAATTTTGAAAATTTAAAGTTTTTTCATATATATGTAAAAAGTTAAAAATTATTTTTAGCGCATTTTCTCATTAATATAAAAAATTCCCTATTGTGCTCGCCATGTCCGTCCGTTCGTCTGTCCGTGACTTCACGTTTTAGTCGATTTTGAGAAAATGCGCACTCTGTCTCTCACTGCAGTTAGTACTGAGTTATATTTTTTTAATATATGAAAATAAAATTGGAAATTCATTGTACATGTGTAACATCGGAGACAGTGGATTCTTTGGAAGTGTTGTCTTTAAAAAGAAATTTTTAAACGCATATTATTTATTGTGATAATGAATATCAAGCGTACGCCAACAAAAAATATCGTCACACTTATTTAAAAAAAATAATAACATAATTGTTTAAAGAATCAATTTTCTTTGTCTTCAATCGCACTTGTATATAAGAATAAATTCCACCATCCATTACTAATATTGACTATTTTATACAATTCTCAGATCACGAGTAATCTTTTTCCATTAATTAATTCGACCTCAACAATTAGATATATTAACACTAGGACATAATTATCCGCAAATTATGGCAGGTGTGCATTACATGTCCACCTGAACGGTGGTATCATTGCTACAGAATTTGTTCATATTGTTGGGTGAGAAATACCCCGTCTTCGTTACTGTCAGGGGCGGCAATTTTTCATCCTTATGATAACATTTCCAGGGCGGCAGACCGGATGATTTGTAGCGGGACTGCTCAGATGAGGTGATAAGTCTCAGTGTCGCGTAATGAACGCCATGGAGAGGTACTTGTCAAGTACTTTGACAAATGTTTATGGCAGAGACTCAATTATGGGGAACTTAATTCCTAATGTTCGATAAATATCTTGCGATTTTAGGTTGCGTATCGAAAGAAACGTGATTAGTGTGAAATATATTTACGGCCGATGCAGGTATACTGTCCATTTGGACGTAACTGCCATTGGTTATTTTTAGTTGGTTTATTAGTTATTGTTATATTCCATCTATTTTAGGGAAGGTCGCCTTTCAGGGAAATTAAGAGCTCTGCAAAATGTTGTCTCAGAAGATTCTTGGCCTAACTAATCAGAAATTTGCATTCCTTAATTCTAATTCAGGCATATGTAAATTGGTGGAAGATATCAATTTGTATTCATTGTCTTAATGGATATTAGATTGATAGATATATCATGTCAACATAATTTCTCTCCACAATATCACTTCTGTTGTAAAAAATTTTATTTCAAAATCCCAACAGAGAGTATTCGGATCACACAACTGGATTTAGTTATCAAGCGCTATTTTTAATTCGAAACTATAATTTAACGGGTGTTTTAGTATACCTGCATTCAAACCAGGCAATGTCAATTAAGTTCTAAACTGGAAACGATTCAAGTTATGTTCTAGAAACCATATATGTTTTCAACCAGAAAGGTTAACCCCGCGTTACTTTAAATAAACCTTCCCTGATTTGAGAACCTCTTTCCCGTTATTCAGTCGTCCTCTGATATCATAGTTCTTTTCAAAATGGAGCAGTCGCTCAAACCCTCGTGTAACATAAACATTAAAATAATTTTTAAAATGTGATTCTATTTATTAATCGCGGTAAGAAAGAAAACTCCTTCAGTTGGTAAAGTTTTCAATTTTTCATCCTACACTCATTTTCGAAGGCTCTATATTTCATACATATAAATAAAACTACAGACTCGATAATATCTCGACAAGATAATTGTCGTAGATACGCGCTGGAAAAATTTAAATGCATATGCTCTCAGTGCCAGACTTAAAACAAACCCAATAATGAACAAGCTTCAAAAACAGGGTGATTTACGGAAAATTCCTAATTTGAAAGCTCATTTAAAAACTAGTACCTAATGATATCATTAAAATATAAATTTTATAGAAACATACATTACCTGAATTTTGATATCATTTAGTTTTATGCATTCAGTTAGTCGAGTTTTTGAAGTTCCGTTCATCTCACTGAAGCATATTGACGGGTATGTTGGCGATGACTTGGCGTATGTTGTTTTTCAAATGAGGTAGGGTCCTTGGACAGTCATTGTAAACAATTGATTTAAGATAACCTCATAAAATAATCACACGGAGCCAAATCGGGGGATCGGGCTGGCCAAAGAAGGTCGCCTTTCAGGGAAATTACTAACTATGCAAGATGTTGTCTTGGAAGATCCATTGAACAAAAGATCCGTTTTTGGGTGTTTGGTCGACCACTGACCTCTAGAAACCTTGCATCCATACATCCACTTGCATTAAATAATGTGTTCTCTCACGTAATAATTGATATCCGCTTAGGAACCCTACTTGATGGACGAATGCGGAACCTAGTACTGAATGCTCGTTGAGTAGCGATAATGGAACTTCCAATAGATAAGTACGTTTCGACAGCAAACGCACACTTCTCCCTTGTCCAATGTATAGTGGCAACTGACTAAGCAGGACACAAAACATCATGAACTTATTAAACTTATTTTTCTTATGAAATACTCCGCGCCTTTTTCCTACATCTTGCTGTTTAGCGCGAAATACAAAAAAGGAAGTTTCCGTGAAATGATAATTAATAAGTAGGATTTCGCATCACATGCTTGCAATGTATCATCGACATTGTTAGTAGTCACTGAGCTAATAGACAAAATTATTATGCTTCAAGAATTTTGCTGCCGTATCGCAATGTGCATAACAATGTATTATTTGGTTTCGCATTTTCGAGCTACCAGTAGAACTTTCAAACCAAGTCATTCAATCGCGTGTTTTAATTACCATCAGAAGTACATGGTTATTTTTGTTTTAGTCGTTTTATTAAATGAAATTAGTATGTAATAGTTATTAATAATGCTTCCAGATCATTACCTAGTATTTTATGATGATTTTAGTAGTTTCTTTCTAGTTTAAAAATCGTTTTTTATTTATTTAATTTCCGTATATCCATGCGCTAAAATTCTCAATTATAATTATAACACGATTATAACATTCAGATAGATAGATATTTTCTTAGTCTTAGTAACCATATTTATTATTTTTACACATTAAAATTTGAATCTTTGCATGCGGGCTAACCCCAGCTCAGATCAGATGCAAAGAATTCAGGAAAATGCAGAAAACTTAATCGTCTAATTTTCAAGCATGACAAGAGGACGTCAAAAATTGATCTTAAAGTTCTTCAACTTTTTGCAATTAGGTTTGCGTTATGTCGGGCGTATGAGTCGACATAACGAAGCATATATGAGACCTGTTCTATATGGTTTTGTTACAAATTATTGCTTTGTAGGATAGCATTTCATTTTTTCAGAGACTGACCCTATCGAATACTATAAAGTAACTGATGATTAACTTCTAACTCGGGTTACCAGAATTATTTTCATAATCGAGAAATTTTCATTTTTTTCAAACCGAGAAATAAATGGATAATTTCACTTCATTTCAACATCCAAATTAAAATGATAATATATATGCAAAATTCCGTCGAGATTTACTTCAGACGAACAATTTGCACGATTCTTACCTCGGAAACACTTACGCTAACAACTTCGCAGACGTCTACAAGAAAGTCATGAATCCAATTCAAAACGATGGTTGAAAACTCGACGTCTTCCATTAACTGGCGCAGTTAATATCAATATGCCTGATAAGGAATCTGCCTTGGCATTACCAGCATTCGATTTCGTCGATTAATTTTTTTAGTGCAAGAAGGCTATTTCAAACGAAACATTTATCCCGGGCTTTATGTTCTTACACCAATAACGAATGATAATTTTATGCATTGAAGTGCAGCTGCAACCAAAGCATTTTTTTTGTCCGCTTTGGGTCACCCCCATACACTAAAATTCAAATACTACCTAAAAAATAAATTTAGAGCGCTACAAATATAAACGATTTCACGATAAGAAGATACGATCTCCAAAAACTTAACGACGTCTGAAAGTTTTATAATTAAGCGAAAATGTTATTTACTTTGCTAACATTTGATACCGAAAAATTTTGGCCTAAAATAAAATGGTTGTCGATACCATCATAAGAACTTGCCTGTATATGATGATTACTTTCAAGTCTGAAGATTAAAATTAAATTTGATAACAATTGCGCTATAATTATGATAATTAATTCAAATTCTTGCATATTACTAGAAATTTTCCAAAGTGTGAATATGATTGTTTCAAATTTATTATAGGTTCACATTAATAATTTGTATCGAATACGTTGTTTTTCATACATTTATAAATTTCTATTCTGATTATCTCTCTTAATTTGAGTTCCTTCATATCTAACTTGCTTCTATGTAGCTTCGGTATAAATTCAACAATAACTTATGAATTTGCATTCAAGTCAGGCGGAGTTTTTCTATTTTGTTTCATTATTTATTGAATTTTCAATTTAATCGATGTAACCATTAATAAAACATAAGCTTGTTATTTACCGCGAGCTGTGTTGCCTAGAAATGCCCGAGCAGCCCGCGGCGCTGCACGACAAATCATGACTGTAATCTGTATCAGTTTATCGCTTATTTTGACGTCGTATTTACTAGAAATATGATGCATTCATTGACAAAGAGAACTCAAAAATCTTTAGAAATTCTTACGGGTGTAAGGAAACAAAAATTGAGGGAAAT